CCATTCTGCTCTGATTGACACCCCCCCCCCAACCTAAAACACATGATATATTGAGCTGTACTGAAAACAAAGGTTTACAAAGGCTGGGATTCAGGGGCCCTGATCTTTAAAGTTACAACTGCCAGAGGCTGTTTAATCCTAGTGCAATGTGCTCTAGAGTCATTTTCCCCCCCGTCTTGGACGCATGCTCCGCATCAGGGGCTGGGAATGGTTTAGTGATACTATACTGCTTGGAGATTCCTGAATGCCAGGGGAATGCCTAACAAGCCACGTAGGTCAGCTTTAAAGATTCTAATTTTGCATATTCTGTAGTAACGAGCTGGCCTACATGCAGAACTCTCAAGAATTCTTGAAAACATCCTATCCTCTGAATAAAGTAATTATGTACTATTAGCCGAAATCTGATATATAACTTTAATGAAAATTTTACAACTCTTTGAAATCTTCCAGCCATGATTTGGAAAATATTCATATGGAGGATCTCAAGCACTTTGCAAACAGCTAATTACTGCAAAACATATATAATTATAGCCATTTTACAGACAGTTTAACTGCAGTACAAATAAAGGAAATGACTTGCTCAGCAAAATATGATAACCTAGGATTTTTCACTCTGTTCCATTCTTTAGATCTAGCTCTTTCACTTCAAAGCACTGTGGCATATTAATGGAAATAAACTGCCCCACAGCTTTTAAATGGAAAGCTTTGTGGAGTTGCTTCAGATTCAAATGAAAGTATTTCCCCCAGGCCTGCGAATGTGAACAAGATGAAGACACTATCTGGATGCAAGTGTTTGACATGTGTGACCTGACCATACCTGTTGGTATGACCAATTCAGCAGCTTGTATCTGTAAGATCTTCTCATTGGATAACACAAGCTATAGCATGCATGCATTGTGGCAAAGAAGAAACTGAGAAGTCCAAACTGTTTCCTTGATAACATCCACTTATCTAACCACTGTGGAAATTGTTTATATTTTGTGCCATAATAGAGCTGGAACCCAGCAGCTAATGCTCCTGGTAAATAAACCAGTGCCAAAAGAGTGATTGAAACCACTGGTAAAACTTTGTTTATCACTAGAATTGGAATTTTATAGAAAGCATTTTCATTAATAGTTACAAAAGGGTAGATGACATCTCTCAGAAAAGTATAGATAAATGTTAACAATGCCAATGCAAAAGCTATTTTCACTGGCAAATGCCACTTAGGAAAGAGATCCTGCTTGCGGTATTGATCTGAAGAGCACTCAAACTCATCAAAATGATGTTTATTCTCTAAATGGAAAAGTGCAGCCACTTCTGGTGTCCTGGTGGTAACTTGTAGATCCATATTCTGAAAAGATTGGAAAAAGGAAAAAAAATACATCAAATTTATGGAGAGATTAAAGAATTCATCAACCATCTTAGCCTTCTGCATTACTGCCCTTTCACTTTATATCTCCCATATATTATATAAATGATAAAATAATCACTATTAAAGGTGAAGCAGCTTAGACATGTGAGGTTTCAGATAGTAAGTACCTGAGCTGAGGATATTTATATTTAGATTTCTGCCTTAGATTACATTCTTTTGAGGTGATTTTAAAATAGATGCTCATTCCAGGAAGTTAACTGCCATAAGAGAAGTTTTCATTACAAGGTCTTAAGATAAAATAAATTAATTTCAAAAGCAGAGATATGCACTAATAACACAAGCAAAATAATGCATGAGGAAATGAAATCCAGAAACTTTAGAATACAACAGTCTATTCACTCAGCACATTTTAACTGCATCTGTAGGACAAACTGAAAATCTTTCAATTTATGATGCCCAGGCAGTGGACTACAGTGTAAGGGACATTTCAACAAACTATATTTTCATTCTCCTCAACCCCAGCCTCAAGCACACACAGTCTTAGCATTTCCTACCTCATTTACCATTTTACAAATTATGCAAAATTAGATCATCTCAATTAAAAATGGAATTTTCTGTTGCCAGGTAGGCACTGCTTGATCACACATCTACTGAAGTGGGTGACAAAATTATCATTGATTTCAGTGAAAGCAGAATTAAGTAAAACTTTTAGCATAAAAACACAGCATGCATTATTATTGGATAGTACATTTAAAAACTATCCTATGCTCAGTACCTCATTGAGAGGGAAACAGATTGCATAGGTATAAAAAAGAAAATATATATGCTAATGTTGAAATGCTCACACATCTCATGCAATAAAGGTATGTCTGGGGGTAAGCTATTATTATATTTATTGCTCACAAGGTGCATCACCTTTAATAATCCAAAAAAAAAAAATAATGTAGCCTCAAAGAGCCTAGAAATAGCTGAGCTCTAAAACTGCTAACTTGGCATATATCCAGTCATCAGCAAAGAGTATTAGATTTGGAGAAACTAATTGGTGTTAGTTATTTGGAAGTGATAAATCTGCTTCAGGTTAGGAGGTTGGAGGAGTCCCAAAGCACATTCAGTTCTATCGCCCAGAATCATTCTCAAGAACCAAACTGCTGTACGTGACAATGGGGCTGACATAAATCAGAGAGCCAAACTCCGAGAGGCTGCATAAGGGAAAAGAGGCAGCAGGCAAGTAACATAAGGTTAAATATGTGTTAGTTGAAGGCTTTATCTTCACTAACACAAAGCTATTTTCTTGTCTTGTGTTTTTTTTTTCTGGTAAGATAACAATGGTGCATCATTATCTTGCTGTAAAATCTGAAGTGGAGACAAGGCACTACATGTAGGTAAGCAAGACTGGCACCGTGCCCCCATCCATGGCTGATAACGTGGAGTTTACCTCACAGTAAAACTAAGCAGCCTTACCTCCACCAGTATTTTCTGGTGGGAGACCTAGTGCATGTTTTTCCTGTAGTTAAAATATACCTTTTTGTCAGTTAAGTAAGTCTAAGGGAATCAAAAAACTTCACAAAGTTTGAGTAGGGACAGTTGAAGGCATTATGTAACTTATAAAGGGAGGAGGCCTCAAGGGCCTGCAGGTGGTATAAATTGCATCCATTGAAATTCACCTTGGAGCTTGGCCCAGAGATGCTGACCTTTCAAAGAGCTGGTTTGAAAGGTGTAATTCAATATTCTACAGGCTCTAGTGATAGAGCCCACTGCCCTCAGAATAAGCAGGAGCAGCCTGAATCGTTTCTGTGCATCAACAGAGGCTTTTTTTTTACTGTAACAAATGTTGTTTACTGGCCTCTTCTTTCTCATCATGACATGGCAATTTTGAAAAAAGACACTTTTAAAGGGAAATTTTAAGGATATCTTTGCTAGAATACAGTGATAACTATTGGGCTTTTTGCAGCTGGTGGAGCACAGCCTTCACAAGGCTCTGAATTGTGCTCGCTCAACCACTTAGCTGGCCCAAGCTTTGTGTGTTTTTTTTAGCCTGGTCTTTGATTAAACACAATGAAATGTGCCATTTCTTCTTTATCTCCTTGTCCCAATATTGTTACAAGATTTACAATGCTCTGATATTTTAGCCTTAAAGGAAAAGCAGGAATCAGATCCTATTCACCCTCCAAGGCACTTCATACTTAGTTGTTGCAATGTCTGAAGTGTCTTGACCCAAAATGTGATCCAAATTTACAGGCTTGGATTCCTGTACACTGAGGAGACCTAGGTACCTCCTAAGACTGATTCTGAATGCCTGGTCACTCAGCAGGCAGGTACCTATATGTACTCTATAGGAATCCTAGCCACACCAGGTATACATGTCTGAATTCCTGCTCCTCCCTGGAATTCTGGGGAGTTAGCTTACAGACCTTACAGGATCTGACCCAGGACTGTAAGGGAGGCACTTCTCTTATGCTGCAATCCAGCAAGACCTACCTAAGACCAGCACCAAGTTCAGTATCAAGCACAACAACCTCTATGACAGCAACCCAATGAATTCTGCCTGGTTAAAAGTGCACATGGAAAAAAAAGTGAGGGACAGGCCTGGCTAACTCAGAGGCAGCAAACTCAGGACTCCTTCGGAAATCCTTTTGGCCCTGTGAATTTTGCACTGTTCGCTGCTCAGTGAGCTAATTTCCAGAGGAATTGGGGACAGTGCTCCTACCAAGCTTAGCCTACAACTTAGCAATTAGGGCTCTCTTACAGGAAATGGTAGATGTGGGTTTTAATACTTTCAGGGTAAGGTAGTCCTAGAACCAAGAGCTCTGATTTCTTGGGCAAGTGCTCTGTCACACCTAGAGTAACTGGTAAAAGATGGCACCATCATTCTCCCTGCTCTGTCTTGTGCATGGAACTGTGTTTATAACTGGAGCATCAAACAAATGCTAGGTAAGGTTGGAGCCCACCTAAGGAACTGCAGGTGTACAGAGTCAAGTGCCTCCTCGCACCAATCTGAAACATGACAAGAGTATATGTAGAGGTTAGAGGCCAAGGTGGCTGATCTAGATTCCCTCTGAGCACATACAGCAGCCCATGCCTGGGCACCTAGGCTTTTTTTAGGCATCTAAATGGAGGCAAGATGCTTAGGTGATTTGCCAGCTGCTGAGAGAAACCAATTTTGGTTGCTCTTTGGCTGCCTATATATCTGGATGGGGGTGGGGGCACTTTAGTTAGAGCAGTTCCCAGACAGCTACTCTAATTAAAAAGGCTCACTATCACATATATTAAGCCCCCACACGTTAAAACGGCTGTGGGGTACTTCATCTAAACCTCATCGAATGTCCCATGGCCATTTTAAAATGTGCATGGGCTTAATACACATGATGATGAGATGATGCTGGAGCATTCTAATTAGAGCATGAACAAACATGTATAGCCTTAGTGTATTATGCAGCTAAATTTCACCTTAGTCCTATTTAGGTGCCTGAAGTTGATTAGGATCTAGTCCCATGTCTCTGGATCAGCTCTGGTTCAAGAAGCAAACATTGTCACGAAGCACAAGAACCCTTTTTTATTTAAATGAATGTTACCAAATTGCATCGGTTTCCTGTATTCTTCCCAGTCTCCCTTTTCTGAACTTCATCGTAATCCACAGTATGGTTATCTCCTGTCATACCTTCCATTGTAGAGGAACCCTAAAAAATAAGTGCTGGATTTAAGACAAGTGTTAAAATACACCGTTGCAGTTTTTTTCTTAACATTCTGAAATGATATTTTCATTCACAAGAGGTTTTTAGGATTGTTGATGTCCTATACAAATGACACCTTCTTTAGAATGGTGTATGTACTTTTCTGGAAAATGGATAGCTTAGAATGGAGCTTCTTCATTCCTCTTCACTCTAGGTACAGTGAAGATCCTAAAAGCACCTGTTGCTGTCTTGCTAGAGGTAGCACATTTATATTCATAGAAGCAAAGAAGGAGGCAAGCGGAAGTGATAAAATGGAGATGGAGAGATACTTCTCTTTTTCTTAGCTCTCAAACATGTGAGAAAAGATTGGCAGTTACATGGAAAGGACTTAGGAGCTGTAAGTTGACTGCACTGGAATGCCCCGATACTGCATTGTGATACAGGCATCATGGTGTTGAATCAGTATATACTAATGCTAAGTTACAACAATGCTATTATTGTGTTTCAGTGTCAGGATGCAATATTAAGAAGCATATTTCTGTGACTACATTTATAGTGCGCTTCTCATCTTTTCATAACTCTGTACCATTTGCCTATGGTACAGGCTGTAATGACTGTTAAATATAATATTTAAATCTTGCATTGAAGTGACTCCAGATGTTTACCAATAATATCAGAATTTGGTTCATGATTTTTCACTATGTGCAACTCTTTCAGAGCATGGCTCTAAGAATCTAGCGAGGGAGAGAAAGAGACTATTGTGTCTCTGACGGCCACCTCCTCCTCTAAGTTTCATGTTTCTCTTCTGATTATTCCCTCTAGATAGCATTTCCTCTGGGCATAACATCACAGATCCTGTTACACAGCAGGATCAACTAGAGCCTCAGTCTGGAGCCAAGTAGGTTAAACTCTTTTCTTCCCTGGCTTAGGTTTGTTCACCTCACCACAACTAGTCTTTGTGGAGAAAAGGCATTGTGTCATTGTGGAGAAAAAAATGTTAATGTTTGTGAGTTACTCAATCACACTATTGTGAAAAGTGCCACACAAAACTCAATAAATAAAATTAATGATTCCACATTTCCCCTTCTCTAAGACAAAAAATATGTCTCTTCCAATCTATTGTTGGCTTCTGACTCTTATCAATCATGCTACTGCCATTATCATTTGTAGGCAAGTCAATCCTCTAGATCAGTTCTCAACCCATGGCCCGCATGCAGCCCAATCAGCACACTGCTGTGGCTCATGTTTCATCCTGTTAAATGGATACACAGGAAGTACACTGTGTGGGTATGGCCCACATACCACACTGAGAGCTGCAAGTGTGGCTTACTATAGCAAATAGGATGTGAACCACTATTCTAGATCATGGTGTACACATAAAAGGTCTAGTCAGATGCCTGATGATTCCATTTGTAGTTGACAAGTCTAATTTGAGAGCGACACAGCTTGTTACAAGTTTCACAGATCCATATGTTGTCTAAATTGGAGTCCAAATTAACAGCATGCTGCTTCCTTCTTTCTCACTTTGCTTCCATCTTCTAGATCAAAGCCACTCCATGTTGAGCTGCATTCAGTGCCAGATGTTCCCTCCAGACTACTGTGCATTCCTCCCAGCTTTCTACATTGATGTTGAACGGCTTAATATAATTTTTGCACACATTGTGGTACCACCATACATGGCAACCCCACTTTCTAAAGCCATCTCAAATCTCACTATACAAAATATTCTTAGGGATGCGGTCTTCTCCCATTCTTCTGACATAGCCAATCCATCGCAACTTCCTCTTCTTGATAGTGGTTTCTAAGTGTCTCAGTCCCGCGCATTCCAGTACCTCTGTGTTCAGTATTCTGTCTTCCCACTTTATTGTCTGTGTAAGATCCTGAAATCTCATGTGGAAGTTGTTCAGTCTCTTAATATGCCTTGTATATGTACTCCATGTTTCTGAACCATAAAGCTGGCATGACAGTACACAAGCCACATAGATTCACACCTGCACCTTAGCTGATAGTCTCCTATTATTCCATGCATATTTTTGTAATAGCCCAAAATTCTTAGCTGCTTTTCTGATTCTGTTAGCCAGTTCAGTCTGAAGGTCAAGTTTCCTGCTAATTGTAGAACCCAAACAGCAAAAACTGTCAATGATACCAAGAGATTTATCCTCCAGAGTGATGTTCTTTCACCGCTTGGTACATGATTATAGTCTTCTTCAGAATAATTGCCATCCTGAAGCTCTTGCATGATTCACAGAATTTACCCAAGAGATTTTGCAGGGAAAATTCACTGTAGGCAAACAAGGCTGTGTCATCCACAAACAGGAAATCTCTCAGAACCAGTTCTTTCAGCTTGATTTTTGCTCTAAACCTGGTGGTGTTGAACAAGCCTCATCTAGTCTGGTTTGAAGATAAATACTATCATTGCTGTCTTTGAATGCATGAAGAAGTAGGAATGAAAAGCATGGGGGCTAAAACACACCCGTTTCATCTTGTTGTTGATGTCAAAGGCATTTGTTTCAATACACTACAGTTGCCTTCATACCTTGATGCAATGAGCGAATTACATTCAACAGTTTGGAGGGACCACCCAGTTTCTTCACAATAGTAAAAAGCCCTTGTTTGTTGACTGTATGGAAGGCCTTTGTCATACTGATGAAGGCTATGTACAGTAGTATTCATTTTTCTCTACACTTCTCTTGCAGATGCTTGACTGAAAATATTGTATCAATGTTGGAGTGTCCTGAGCAAAAACTGCATTGGCTTTCAGGATAGATTCTTTCACCTAGAGATTGCAGCCTAGGCAGCAAGATGCAAGTGACAATTTTTCCACCGATGCTCAGCAGGGAGATACCTCTATGGTTGTCAAGTCACTTCTAGTCCCTTTGTTTGACATTTCCATTTAAGTGTTTTAGTGGAGCTGTTTTCTTCTTGACTGGACCAATTGCTCATTTGATGCCTTCGTACATTCCATGGCGAGCACCTGCGTGAGCTGCTTTCTAAATATCATCGCAGAATTTCAGCCAAAAATCTTAGCCTCCTTTTGCATTTCTCTTTGAGTCTGTCTCAGATTTTTAGAGTTATGATGTTGGGAGATTTCTTATAGATGGTTAGCGCTATTCTTTTGTTCTCAACAAGTAGAAAGATTTCAGGGTGCTCTTCAAACCAGTACAATCCCTCTCTCTAAAAATCCTAATATTTCATAGATTTCAAAGACATTAGGGCTGGAAGGGACCTCAGAAGATCATCGAGTCCAGCCCCCCGCCCGAGGGGCAGGAAGTCAGCTGGGGTCATAGGATCCCAGCAAGATAAGCATCCAATTTACTCCTGAAGGTGTTCAATGCAGGTGCTTGAAACACCTCCGATGGCAGGCTGTTCCAGACCTTGGGGGCTCGGACAGAAAATAAATTCTTCCTTATGTCCAGCCTGAAATGGTCTTACAGGAGTTTATAACTGTTCGACCTCGTCATCCCTTGGGGCGCTCTGGTGAACAAATGTTCCCCCCTGGTAAACTTATAGGTGGCCATCAGATCACCCCTGAGCCTGTGCTTTTCCAGGCTAAAGAGCCCCATGGCTCTCAGCCTATCGTCATAAGGTTGTTTTCCTGACCTCTGATCATGCGTGTGGTTCTTCTCTGGACTCTCTCAAGCTTCTTCACATCCTTTTTGAATTGTGGAGCCCAAAACTGGACACAGTACTCCAGCTGCGGCCTCACCAAGGCCAAGTACAAGGGGAGAATGATGTCCTCGGATTTGCTTGAGAAGCATCTATGGATGCAAGCCAACATTTTGGTTGCTTTACTAGCCACAGCATCGCATTGCAGGCTCGTGTTCATTTTGTGGTCAATGATGACCCCCAAGTCTCTTTCTTCCGTAGTGCTAGCCAGCATAGCACTGCCGAGCCTATAAGGATGCTGCAGGTTTTTCCTCCCAAGGTGGAGAACCTTGCATTTTTCAGTGTTAAACACCATCAGGTTCTCGTCCGCCCATTTGCTGAGCCTGTCCAGGTCAGCCTGGATCGCCCTCCTGGTGTGAATGCTTCTGACTGGCCAAGTTCCACATCATTAATTAAGATGTTGAACAATATAGGTCCAAGGACAGAGCCTTGGGGGACCCCACTGGTCACAGGGCACCGTGATGATTGACTTCTGTCAATTACTACCCTCTGGGTCTGACCACGGAGCCAATTTCCCAGCCAGTGGAGTGTGGTGGACCCAAGGTCACAACTAGCCAGTTTCGCCAAGAGGTGATCATGGGATACCAGATTGAAGGCTTTTTTTAAGTCAAAATATGACATCAATCTCTTCTCCCTTGTCCAGGTGATAGGTCACCTGGTCATAGGAGGAAATGAGATTGGTCAACCAAGACCTACCTGCAACAAACCCATGCTGGCTATCCCTCAGGATGTTGGCATCGGCCAGTCCATTAAGGATGGCCTCTTTAATAAACTTTTCTAAGATCTTCCCTGGGACAGAAGTCAGGCTGATGGGCCTATAGTTTGCCAGATCCACTTTCCTCCCTTTCTTGAAGATAGGCACCACACTGGCCTTCTTCCAGTCTTCGGGCACTACACGAGAGCACCAGGAGTTTTCAAAGATCTGTGCCAGGGGCTGGGCTATGATGCTTGCCAGCTACTTGAGTACCCTGGGGTGTTGACTGTCAGGGCCGGCTGACTTGAAGGTATCCAGCCTCTCAAGGTGTTCCTTCACGAGGTCAGCATTGCTGGAGGGCAGGGAATCTCCCTCACCCAGACCTCCCTGTCCCATAGCGGGTATGGGCGTCCCATGGGACTGATGAAAGACTGACACAAAGTACCCATTTAATAGGTTGGCTTTTTCCTGGGCGTCAGTTGTTCCATCTGGTTCAGTAGGGGTCCAATGTTGCCTTTGCTTTTCCTCCGGCTCCCCACATATCTGAAAAAGGACTTTTTATTGTCCTTGATGCTCGAAGCTAGTTAGAGTTCAGTTGCAGCCTTGGCTTTCCTGGTTTGATCCCTGCAGGACTGGACCAGTGCAGAATATTCTTCCTTGGAGGTGAATCCCATCCTCCATCCTTTGTAGGCCTTTCTTTTTAGCCTCAGGGGGTCTGCTAGATCCCTGGATTGCCAGGGGGGCTGCTGTGCCCTCTTGCTGCCTTTCCTCCAAGACGGAATAGAATTAGCTTGTGCATTGAGGATCGCTCCCTTGAGGAGCGACCACTCTTCCTGACCTCCCCTCCCCCTGGGGTCATGGTCCCTTAGGGCCTCACTGACGAGCCTCCTGAGCTTGTCAAAGTCAGCTTTTCTGAAGTCAAGGACTTCAGTGTTGCTGACTGACTTGCCAGCTTTACGGCGGATGGTGAAGGTGATCAGCTTGTGGTCGCTGTCACCCAGCTTCCCATCAATCCCTCTCTCTAAAAATCCTAATATTATAACAAGTCATGGGATACCTGATGTTTCCTTAAAGCTCCAGATCCTGAGATCATGTGATTAAAAATATAAATTGAGAAACTTAACTAAACAAAGTAAATTTCTAGCCCACCTGGTTGTAGAGAATAGCTTGAAACATGAACCAAGTGCAGGCTTCAGACTGAGGAAGTAGCAGACAAATAAAATGAGCCCAGAAATTGTTATTTTTAAAATAATGGGGTTTTTGAGACCTCATGCATGATTGTGAAAGGTTGGGGGAGAAGCAATACTACTGCTTTCCACAACAAAAATCTGTGGCAATATTTTGATTACTTCTCTGAGCAAAACATCATGGAGAACCTTATGTTTCACTTTGACTTCTTCGCACTGAGGCAACTTTTTGGATGTTAAAAAGCTTTTGTGAGTGATGTTAATTGTTTCTGTTTCCCATACTTATTCATTTACTAGATTTATATGCTACCCTCCCAATGAAGGCTCAGGGCAGGTTACACCTGAACAAAATAACATATAACACAAGAGAAAAAAAATTAACATATAAAATCTAGTAGAGAATTAAAATATGAAACAATCCCATTAAACATTATCCTAGAAACCCCCAGAATGTTTCAATACACCTCTCAGTGGGAACGTCTATACATGTGCTTTAATGCACAGTAGTCTATTTTACTGCGCATTAAAGCAGTGCACAAAAAAACATGCTATTGTGTTAATGCACAGTAAAACAGGTTACTGTGCATTAAGCATCATCGAAAAAGTGTGCACTTGTGCTACTGTAAACTAAGGCAGCCTAATGCGCATTAATTTAGTACCTCACATTGGAAGTACTAAAGTTAATCTGCATTAGGAAAAGCGCATTAACGGATGTGTAAATGTACCCAGTATTAACATATTTTCCAGCCCAGTTGAGCCACATAGACCAAAATGAGTGCCTGAAGCACTGTCCTCTGGTACAGACAATGTTATCTTTCTAATCTTCCTTTCTGGAAGGAACTTCACCCAAATCATAATCTGGAAAGTTAGATGTGCAATTATTGTTCATTTATTAAAGCATCCGAGACCCATTTTAATAGGAGACTGGATAGATATGCACTTTATAGGCTAGCTAAATCTAGTTCATAAAGTGAAAATCTAGTCTGCCTTCTGCCTGACTGATACAGCTAACTGCTTCTTCTATTCCAATACCATATTTATCCTGTGCATGAGGATTCCCACAATACCTTCCAGCTACTAAAGGCTTGTGGTACTGGGAGGAGGACAGATATAGTGAAATATACCACAAAGGCAATCAGCTGGGATGACAGCTGTTGATACTAAAAGTTGATTTGATGGCTCTTTCAGGAAATGCAAATAAGCAACATCATAAAAAGAAACACAGCGAGTGAATGCACCCAGGGAAGCACAGGTTTCAGCTGTGTACAAGGAATCAGAAGTGCTTAATTATCAAAGTCCACTTGGCTTCTGAAGACATAATTAACAGAAAATACTTGTTTAATCTGTCCAATAACAGGAGAGTCTTAAACATGAGACTTTAGTAATTCCACTATACCGTGTCTTATGAACTGGCAAAGTAGCAGCAATCTCTAGTGCCTCCATGAAAACAAAAAAACCCCATTAAATTTAACATCTAGTTTTGAAGATTCAACTAAATAGAATTATTTGGCTAAGTAGATTGCAATTGTTATATAATGAAAAAGTTGCAGTTACTATGCTCACTGCATATCAATGAAGCAATAAAAAAACCTCCCGAAAATATCAACCTGTGATTCAGAAGGGGCAATTCATTGCCACTCACTTCATGCTCTGTTTTATAAACAGGATTTCTCTTTATAAATGTGCCCATTCCATTTTGTAAGGTGAGAGCTAGCTCATTACTCTGCTGAATAAACTAGGATCCAAACTCAGCGGACCTCACTCATGGAGAACTTCCCCTGAAGTCAATGGCAGCAAAGACTTGAGGAGCTGGTCCTATAAGAGAAAGAGGAAAGAAAAAACTATCTTGACATTTGGCAAGATTCTTCTGGTAGATGTGATATCTTTTACTAGACCAACCGAGTAGTTGGAAAAAAGACACCACAGCTAGTCAGCTGGTCTAATAAAAGCTATCATCTCTTGCCCGCCTATGGCCTTAGACCAACACGGCTACAACCAACAACCCAGTATCATGAAGTTGTCTTTTGAGTTTCATCTCTTTTAAAACTTCAGCTGCGGCTGCACAATTGCACCATACACCGTTCAAGAGCACCAGCTCTTCTTGCAAAGAGTGCCTTGCATTTTGGCACGTGTCAGCAATTCTTCTCAAACCTTTCCTTGCATTTCCATTTTTTAAACCTTTTAACAGTTGCCCGAGCTTTGCGGAAGATGCAGCGGTACAGAAGAGGCTAGCTGGAGTAGTTGAAATACTGCCCAGAGTTGTTATCTCCCGTCAGAATGCCCTTGGGGATGGGGAATCCTGTCCTTTAAAGGCAGAGCCACGTGGGACCCCCCTGAACAAACATTTTGCTTTGCTCGCTAAGTCTGAGGCTGCTCCAGTCGCTGGCGGGTGGCGCGGCGCGGCCGGGAAGGAGCCGAAGTGCGGTCACGTGGGCTGCCCCGGGTGGCGCGGCGCGGCGACCCCAGTGCTCCGGCGCAGGGGGCGGCGCTCGCGGGCGCGGTCCGGGTGATGCCCTGGCCGGCACCGTCTCCCTCTGCAAACATTGGAGCCGTTCCCTCCTGTGCCGCCAGCTGCAGCTCTCGGCCCCCCGCCGCCGCCCCTCTGCTAGGACATGCCGGGATCCGAAGTTTACTTACAGCCTCTCTCGACCCCGCTGGAGCAGCGGCGAGCCCGGGCAGCCCCTCGCGCAGCAGAGCCCGGCGGGAGCGGGGAGATGCCCGGTCTGGAGCCCGCAGCTGCCCTCCCCCTCCAGCCCCGCCTCAGCATCCATCCCTCTGGCCCGCGGCCCCGCCTTCTCTCCGCCCTGGGGCACGAGGAGCCCTGCCCGCCCCCAGCCGCAAGTCCGGCTTCTCCTGCTGCAGCAGCAAACCTTTAGGGCACAGACAGCAGTTACATTCCTTGCAGGATTGCCCCCCTGAAAGCACTCCACAGCCCTGCCCTAGAGCGCTTTAAAAGTGGTCAGGCATGCAACAAATTGACCCTCATCAAATGAGGGATCAGATGGAGATGCTCCACTTCCGAGCGCTGTAGGGAACTTCTTAGAGCCCAGGCCTTCAGCCCGGGGTGGGGGAGAGCGGGGAGGCCCAAATTGGAGCAGGCCAATGGAGAACTAGGGTGCTCCATTCCTCTTACACCCAAGAAACCCAAACCCCAATGAAACCTGGCCCAACAATACCACTAATGGCTGGATCCTGTGCCAGATGCAGGTAACTGCTGGCCCCTGCTCTCTGTTTAGATGACCTGTTCTTATTCCAGGATGAATGAAACCACCAATGCACCTTAAAGCGGTGGTACCAGACTCCAGCTTCCTGTTGTATCTTGCCAGTTTTTGTCCCTAATCACTCACGCTTCATGCCTAAGTAGAAAACAAGTGTAACCATTCCTTTGGCACCTTGAAAATCTAGTGTCAGTACACTGGGAGTTTCACTCTGTCCCCTTGCTTGCTTGTTTCTCTTCACTAGCTGTCCTGTTAGTGCCCTCCCCTGTGGTCTTTTCTAATATTCCCTTCCTCTTGAAATGCTCACTTGCCACATAGTTCTTCCCTAGCCGACCTGAGTCAAGTGTAGACTCTTCTCCTATACCCCATATCCTGTGCACTGTGGCACAAGGGTGTCACACACAGCTGATCCAACCTGCACCCAGTGAAATTCTTCTGCCTTAACCTGCCTTCTACCATATACACTTCTCAAATCCACACTGAACCAAATAGCCTTTCTTTAGCTTGACTGCTGTATTGCTCAATTCCACTCCCAAATATCCCCCTAAGTCTTCCCCCTGACAAGCAGCCTTCATGTAGTTGTGCTTCTAAAAAATAACCCTCAGTTTGAAAAGCCTTTCTTCATACAGATATTCCTGATCATGCCCCTTTTATAGCTGGCAATTTTGACAAGGCAGTCTTACTCTGGAGACAGATTTGCAACGTTAGCCTGGACTACAATTGTCTTAATCTGGTTTCTTCTCTTATTGTTCCCTTGTCTATATGTTATGAGTTAACAACATTGAAAAATGTAGCCAGCTTGATACAGAGAAAGATTCAGTTCATAGCTTGTGCCTCAGAATCCTCTTAGCCAGGTCTTAATGCAGGATCTTTTATTTACGCTATTTGGAAGGACTTTATTTTTCCCTTTTGTTTGGTGTGGGATGCTCTAATACAATGCCAACCTGTTTGACCTGCAGGCAGGATAGGCTGTGCCTGATCTGCCTGCAGGCCAAATCTAGTGCATGGTGAGGGTGCAGCTGGTGTGCACTGCCATCCACCAAATTTTTCAACTTGTGGGGAGTCCCATGGGCCATATGCCATGGCTCTCTGGGCCAGATTTGGCCCGGAGGCTTGGGATTTTGCTCTAGTAGTGCACTCTTCCAAATTGAACCTGAGGCAGAAGTTAAGAGGCTGCCTTATTAGCATTAAAAAAAAGAAAGAATTGTTCCTAATATTTGAGACAACACAATCTTATCCTTTGTGTTTTTTCAGTTACATTTTTAAATGCTCCTCCCCTGTGTTGTAATTTTACACTGATGATTGTCCACATACTTCCTCTTCAGTAGTCTTCTTGTTTTGCAGTAAGTTTTAAGCTTTTGCATGTTCCCCCCCACTTTCATCCTGTTTTCTTCTCTGTTCTTTCCTTACTTGCTATCAGGTTTTAAATTCAAAGTAGACTCCTCCATGACTAACTTTATCAGGGTGACATCTAGTGGTGGGAACCTGATGGCAGCACATGACTACCTGTACTAACTATGCCTTCATAGTTTCATAGTAGCTAGGGTCAGGAGGGACCTGAGCAGATCATCTAGCCTGACCCCCTGCCACAGGCAGGAATGAATACTGGGTTCACAAGACCCCAGACAGGTGATCGTCCAACCTCCTCTTGAATATGCCCAAGGTAGGGGCGAGGACCACTTCCCTGGGAAGTTGGTTCCAGATTTTGGCCACCCTAACTGCAAAATATTGCCTTCTGATCTCCAACCTAAACCTATTCTCCATCAGCTTATGACCATTTTTTGCTTGAAAATATTCTGAAAAGCTTTATTAGCTATGAAATATTGAAAGCAAATATTTGCAGTCAATATGCAGTTTACTGCCACTAGAGAAAGAATAACCATTAACAGTTTTGAGCTTTATATTAATGACCAAAGGTGAAATCAGGTCCTGTTAAAGTCCATGGCAAAACTCTCAGAAATTCTGGGATAAATTTACTGAGCAAAGGCTCAATAAATAAATGAAGGGGTTTTAAACCCGAAAGCTTGCTAATTTTTTTCTCCTACTATTTAAGTTGTTCTAATAAAAGATATCAGATTCACCCAAAGAACCTTGTCTGCCTTGAGCAAAGGCTAGAATTTCAAAGGCAATTATGTGTGGCATCACCAAAGTCCTAGGGACCTAGGCACTCAGATTCTATATGAAATGTACAGGGAGAGCTACATATGGAAAGAGAAGATCTTTAGAAATTAGAAGATCAGGGAGCTGCCTAAACTAGCCAACAATGGAATGGAACAGCACGTAAGAAGTGGATACCTCAGGAAATAAGATGACATGGCTAGCAATTAGTACAGGGGCAGAAATTATTTTGGGCGGAGGGCCGCTTACCCAGTTTTGGCAAGCTGTCAAGGGCCATGGTAGCCTCGCCCCTTGACAGGTGCCCTCCTCCCTGGTCACCATCTTGGGACCAGTATTCCAATGTCTTGGGACCAATGTCTCAGGGTCAGCACTGGCGGGGCCCAGAGCAGGGCACAGGCTGGCAGGGGTCTGTGGAGCCAGGCTGGGCTGCACCAGCAGGGAGAGGGGGAACTGGCCCTGCCAGCCGGGACCCTGTACTCCTGCTGCCCTGCTCTGGGCCCTGCTGGCGCTGGCCCTGTGCTCCCATGCCTGCTCACTCCCAGTGCCCCCACAGCCCCATGGTACAGGTGGGGGGCAGCGCACAGCCCCGACCCCCTGATTGCTGGCAGGGAAGGAGCTGGTACAGAGCACGGGGAAAAGTGGCCCCTTGCCTCCCCTGCTTGCGGGCCAGCCAGTGTTTGCTGCTGCTGCCCCCCAGGGTGCCCGGGGGGCGCCGGGGGGAGCGTCACGGCAGCCTACCATGGCACGATTTCTGGGTGGGCAGCAGCAGCAAACACTACCTGGTGTGGCAAGCAGGGGGGCTGCAGTTGTTGCCATGGCACAGCCCTAATGGGCGAGCCTGGAGCCATTCAGAGCCCAGGC